CAAACATCTGTTAAGTCCCTTACCAGCATTTAAATTTAAGATCCGTTGTGGTTCGGGGGTGCAGCAACCGGTGCATCTACTATCACCACTCCCGGCAAGCCCAAATCACGCCGAAGATCCCAACAGAGTGAATGCAACTTACTTGTGCTTCGAAGTTGCACTGCATGCACACCATCCGGGTCCTGGAGGTCCAAATTCGTAACTTGGTGTGGACACGCACTCGCAGTCTCTTGCCAAGAATCTGCTCGGACATGTTGAGCAGACGTGCTCTGCTCACTGAGCTGTCCATCGTTTCAGCTGTTTCTGCTGCTAAAGCCTTCTGACGCTAGGCTTCTTGCGAAGATCCCGGATCACCTGTCATGCGCAGGGCTTGAGACTGACCTGTAGCTGCTTTCGTGTACTGGAGGCTACCCCAGCGACCCCTGACCTGGTCCACTGTCTCATGCGTCGAAGGCATGATCTGCATCCGACGATCTCGCTCTGGGTTGCCATAATCATCAACCTGCTCGAGAGGAAAGCCGACTCACTGAACTCCGGCGCTGCACTCCGTAACATCTTCAGAAGCTCTTTGAGGAACTTGACGTGCACCCTGGTCTGGAACGTCCGACGCTCGAAAGCCCAATCTCACAACCACGAACCCTGCGAGTAGGACATGCAAAGTGTAGTCTGCGGCAGATTGTTGCGGTGGATTCATTTGGCTTGTCTCCAGCGTGCAGTCTCCAGTGGTGCATTTCGTGCTCTGAGGCTGCCGTGGGAAGTATCACGGACACGGCTTCATTGGATGCTCGAAGTCTATCAGAGCCACACAGCGCAGCATTGGCCACTCGACAAGTAAACACAAGATTCGAAGCACCTGGAAAACCGTGAGGCACAGCGGGTAAAGCTCAACTCGCCTTGGATGGTTGCATGGTGCTTTGTACGAGTTACCTGGCTGAACAAGAGTCTGCGATAATGGATTCCCTAGACTGGACATGGACCTTAATTCAGAACGCACACGCTGAAGCCTTGCTTTCTGTGCCATGAACTACTGCAGCCCTTAAACGCCTACGCACAAGCGTTCGATCAGCTGAGTGACAGCTGGTTCTCCGTGCTGCCGATGACACGGCGCCTGCCGGGAGCGAAGGCGATCCGAGCTGATGCGTATGTTCATTCATGTTGTTAGATGCTGTTAGCTAACATCGTGACTACTGATTAGGTCTCAATCAATATGCACATAAACTAAAACAAATACTAGCTGATATAACTAACATTCACACATTCAATAACGTTACGTAGTTAAAACTAGTTACTGTTCGTTCATTTTAATCAATACTAGTTTGGCGCCCAGCTTGTGCAGTTTCTTGCTGTTGCAGATTCTTGGGCTGATCTTTGCCATCGCTATGTGTAGCACCTTTCTCACCTAGTGCCGCAACACAATCCACCCACACCCCCAAACGCAGACCCTTCAAAAGCTCGAATTTGCCGCAAATTCGTTCAGACAGTTTCTGGGCTCTGCGCCTGAGTGCCGGTCCACCGCCATACCAACCATGCAGCTTCTTCCATGCTTCCTGGACCGAGGGACTGTGGGAAAAACTGTGGCAGGCTAGGCCCTTGGTCGAGGGATAATATCCCTCGACCATGTTATCCTGCCGAGGAACCACATGGCATTTGCTACTTCCTGGTTTTCTAACTTACACGGATGTTCACGCTGCAGGCTCCTGCTTTGCGCTGGGTTAGGAAGCCACAAGCTCTGTTTCGCGGATGGGAGACTTTGTTTATGAAACTCTTCGGGAAGTTCGAACATGCAAACTCGCGTGCCTCGTGCAGGAGTATGAAGTCCTGATTCCTTGGGCAGACATGATCACACCGAGAACTCAACGCAACTTGACGGTATGAGATCACAATCATGGATCTTCCTGCTTTAACATCTGCAAGTCAACCGTATAATCGCTTCGTTTTGGCCAGGACACTCCACTAAACCACTCTGAAGGCGAGTGCAGTCTGGCCTTGAAGGATGTGTGACCAGAGAGGCCCCACAATATCCCACAGTCAGGTTAATTTTCGGTATTTCTCTGCTACATTCTCTGGATTATGCTGGTCTCTGTATTCGATCATGCTTGCAGTTGCACTGCACAGCGCAATTGAACATGAGCGCCACCACTGCGCAGCTTTGAAACTCTCAGTGTTGCGCACTCGCCGGCTATGTTCAAAGAATGCAATGCATACCAGCCTTGGCAGAAGATCGGAGTTATCTATCTCCGCAGGCCGCTCACCTTTCAGGTGAAAGTCGCGGCTCGACGTCGCTGAGCACGCGCGAGTCTTCCCAGCCTTTGGCGGTGCCACTCCAGGATCGCGACCTGGGAAAAACAAATGAGTTTTGAGTTGACAAGGGAGGCCCTTCCGCGGCTCCTGGGCTTCTTCTCGAATCAGAGGTTCAGCCGAGCTGCAGAGCAGGTTGCGCTGGCGCAGCGGGCTTATCCTGGGCTTCGTGTCTGCTGCTGTCTGCCTTCATGAGAGAAGGTCTGTTGCGACCCCCCCAACTACGACCTCGTCTTGATGAGAACCACGATTGCCGCAACGAGGCGTAAAGTGTATAGTCTCTCCATAGATCCCACCATCGCATGCTCAGCACATACCAATGATCTCCTTGACAGTCTACATTGCAACAACTGCTTTCAACTCCTGCCTGATCAGTACCACGGGATACAAGACAGGTGCCCCTCCTGGCCGCAAGCTGGCACCAACACCATGCAGCACCTCGTGCACTTCTTGCGCCTGGCAGGTGGCCAGACATGAATAAGGAGCTCTATCGATCTACACCTGGGTACGGGCAGCTCATGATATCAGAGATTCATTCGCTGGATCGAGGTTCTAAACAGTGTAAACTCGACATGTGTCAAGTTCGGTTTTCCGGGGTCTGAAGTCATGATATAGGCATGGGCCCGTGAAGGTCTCACCTCGGCACATGAGCTTGTGGCTGGGGTATGAAGCCTGGGTAGGCAGGTGTGGCTGGGTTTAGCTCGTAAAAGCATCCCAAGCACGGGCTCCAAGATTCAAACCACAAACCTGAACACAAATTCCGGGTGGCTACAGGCGACTGTAGCAAAAACAGCACTTGTTGTAGCGGTAGCATCGGCGGCGGCAGCAGCAATAGTGGTAGCAGTTGTCGTGAAGGTAGTTGGACGTAGTCGCAGTCGTCGTCGTCCTCGTCAACCTCGTCGTCGTCGTCGTCGTCGTAGTAGTAGTAGTAGTAGTAGTAGCAGTAGTAGTAGTAGTAGTAGTAGTAGTAGCAGTAGCAAGCAGTAGCAGCAGGAGTAGCAGAAGCTATGGTAGAAGTCGTGCTCCTCCTCTTCCTGCTCCTCCTCCTCCT